ATATTTAACACCCTTCTGAGTGGTTTGTGAGTATCTGTGCAAACATCCTGGACAGATCTGTACAGACGGACAGAGGAATTATTTTGGTCCTTACTGGGCGGGTCTGTGGGTGTCTGTGCAGAGATCTACAGCAAAAGTTCTACTGTGGCAAACTAGCTAGTAGGGACCAAGCTGTACGTATGGCGCGCTGTCCAGATCTGTACAGATCTGTACAGAGCCTGGTAATTTACTGATTGTAAGCGCAAACCATGTGGCAGTACGTGGCGTCCACGCGAGGTGGCTAGAGCATTCCCACCCATTGCGCCTTACTTTATAGACTAGTCCACCACCCGTTGTGCCTTCGGCACAGGAAGGCAGCAGAGCGCTTCGCGCTCTGCTCAAGGTGCCTGCGGCACCTTGACTTCTTAATAAACATAGCAGGTTTTGAAATATACTGTATTTTTGAGATCATAATTTGAATTTGAATTTTTGTATATTTTGATAATTAATAAAAATTATCATACATTGCACAAATCCTGCTGGCAGAGGAATCAGTCTCACATTTTGTACTATAGTATAATTTATTAGTTCTCCCCATCTCATATTCTCCCGTCCCCCCAGTCACATATTTTTGTGTTGTTTTATACTTTATTGATTCTCCTGTTCTCCTGTTCTTCTATTCTCCCGTCTCCCATCTCATATTTCCCCATCCCCCCGTTCTCCCGTTCTCCATTTTTCTCGTTCTCTGGTTCTCCTGTTCTCCCGTCTCATATTTCCCCGTCCCCCCATTCTGCCATTTCTCTCATTCTCCTGTTCTCCTGTTCTCCTGTTCTCCCAATCTCTCACTCTCCTGTTCTCCTGATCTCTTGCTCTCCTGTTCTCCCGTCTCCCAATCTCTTGCTCTCCTGTTCTCCCAATCTCTCACTCTCCCAATCTCTTGCTCTCCGTTCTCCCATCTCCTGTCTCCTGCTCCTGTCTCCTGTCTCCTGTCTCCTGTCTCCTGTCTCCTGTCTCCTGTCTCCTGTCTCCTGTCCCTGTCTCCTGTCTCCTGTTCTCCTGTCTCCTGTCTCCTGTCTCCTGTCTCCTGTCCTCCTGTCTCCTGTCCTCCCGTCTCCCATTCTGCCATCTCATGTCCTTCAATTTGGGAGGTGCCTGTATCACCTTATAATAATTATAGCAGATTTTGAAATATATTATATTTTTAAGATGTCATAGCATGAATATTCACAAACAAAAAATTAAAGCATGTTATAGGAATAACTATAAGACAAATGTGAATATCAAGAAGGCTTCCAGCCAGGGGGAGGACCCTCCTTGAGTACCTGGTCAAGATGACGGCGCTGCTCCCAAGTTTTCCCCTTCCTCTGCTCAAGGATGTGTGTACGCCAAGCATCTGCAACATCACGCTGCTTCCGATGCTCCTTTGCCTCATCCAAGCGTGTGCGAACAACATCCCAGTCCAGATCACTACGCTTGAGGTCATGCACATGTTGCTCATCTGCCCAGGGTCATTCTCTTGGCCAGCTTTGCATTTTGTTGCTGCATGTGGTGAAGTCGCTGCTCTGCTGCATGGCGACCCTCTCGTCGAGTGGAGATCTTACTGTATGGATTACTGAGTTGTCTCCGTTCGAGACGCGCCAGGTGACTCTCCGAAAACCGGAAGCGAAGTTCAGCTTCCCAGTCAGTCACACGTGAAGGTGCTGGAGGAGTGGTGGATGTGGTGATGGGTGGGTCAGGCTTTCTGAGAGCTGGGATAAGAATATGGTGTCGTTCGGCACGTTGCTGCAGTCAAGCAGCATAACTCGTGTCGAGACCCTGCAGAACCCTGGCATTCCAGTCGGCAGCTGGGTTTGGCTCAAGGAAGCTATTGTGCCTCGTAGCTACTGTAAGGGACCAATCAGACAGAGAAAAAAAAACGAATGAACTCACCTGGTGACATGGCCTGGCAGCGCCGCACCGGAGTCGGACGTCACAGCGAAAAACGTGCCAGCACCAGGCACTGGGGAAGCACTGGGGATAGTACTTAGTATAGTAGCTACTGTAAATTTGAAATAAAACGAAAAACGAAAGAGAAGAACTCACCCGTCGACATGGCCCAGCGTGGCAGGCAGCTCCGCATCATGCGACACGGCAAAACACGCACCGGAGCCGGTATCAGGCGCTGAGGTGGCAGTGCTGTGAATAGTCATGCTGTTAGTGTTAGTGGGAGGCAGCAGGACACGACAGGAGGTATTTGGAGATGACGGGAGGTGTCGGGAAGTGATGGCAGGTGAATTGTGAGGCCTAGCATGAGGGTTGGGCTAGTTCGTGTTGACGTCGCAGCGTCGGTCGTGTCGGTGTCGTGTGCACGGTCGGTGCTCGAAAAAAACCACGCGACTTTCCAAATCGAGGTCTTGCCGAGCTAAGCGCAAACCACGCGAGCAAACGTGGACGCCATGTGAGCAAATGTGGCGTCCATGCGAGCTGCACGCGCGTCCCTACCCATCGCGCCTTACTTTATAGACTAGTCCACACCCGTTGTGCCTTCAGCACAGGAAGGCAGCAGAGCGCTTCACGCTCTGCTCAAGGTGCCTGCGGCACCTTGACTTGTGCCTTCGGCACAAGTAGTGAGTGGAGTGCGTTGCACTCCACTCCGAGTCCTTCTTACATATCATAGCACTTTTCACACAATGAATTCTTAGCACATTTGAACAAAAGACATGAAAATTTTAAAGCGGGTTTTGATACATGTAAAACTACAAATTCTAAATTCTATGCAATGTAAAAGTACACAACTTGTCAATCAAACAATATCAATCAGTCCTCTAAGCACTTCTGAATATACAACATTCGTCGAATTTGTCCCTTCTTCATGCTCTTGGAAAATAGCAAACACTCTATCTGGGTGAGTACAGCGAGACAAAGCTACGTAAAGCTGTCCGTGGCTGAACACAGGAGTACGTAAATTAAGCCCGACCCACTTGACACTCTGACCTTGAGCCTTGTTGATTGTCATGGCAAATGCAAGACAAACTGGGAATTGACGACGCCTGAGAGGAATCGGGTTTTCGTCAGAACTTGCATCCAGAGTGATCCGAGGAATCAGCACAGTGTTCTCTTCTTGATGGTGAACACCATCATTTCCTTCCCTGAGGATGCGACACCTGAGAACACGTGTGGTCCAAGATAGGAGGATCATACGGGTTCCATTGTAGAGTCCCTGCAAGGGGTTCAAGTTCCGCAAAAGCATAAGAGGAGCACCTTGCTTGACCTCCAATTTGTGTACAGGGAAGCCTGATGGAGTGAGGGTGTGAAGGAATTCCAAGGGGATGTAGTCATAATCTCTCTCGTTCACCGAGTCTGAGCTGGTGAAGACCGTCTTTTCTCCAGGGAATAAGTCAAGGATTGTGGTGTTGATTTCGTCCACATCAGTGTTCTTTGCAGATAGGATGGTGCGGTCCAGGAAGTAGGAGTCAGCCAGGGGAGGATGATCAGGGAGCAGAAGGTCAGAGTATAGGGCATTTATGAGAGACCGGATGCTGTTGTCATTGCAGCGCATGCGAGCAGGGAGAGTCACTGTGCCGTCTACCCCTGTGTCCCTACCAGCTCCGATCTCAAGGAGCCATTGCGCAAATTGATCTGAAGCTGGATCTTGACCGAGCCGCATATTTCTTTTCAGGTGAAAAATGCGAAGATTCCGCCATAGGCGAGATCTGCAAAAGGTAGCACCCACTATCTGCTCCCTGGATCCATGAGGCACCACCGGCAAAGTTTGCCTGAAGTCTCCTCCAAAGAGCATGCTTATTCCTCCGAAATCAGCATTGACACCCAAAAGGTCGCGTAATGTGCGGTCAAGGCATTCCAGGATGTGACGGTGCAACATTGGAATTTCATCGCAGATGATGAGACATGTGGCCTTGAGAAGCTCATGGACCATGTCGCCTTTGTTGATGCGACATGAGCTGTCCTCGTGAATGGGGATGGGGACCTTGAGTCGTGAATGAACTGTACGTCCGCCTGGAAGAAGGAGAGAGGCAATGCCAGAGGAAGCCACGCATAGGACGATCTTGCCTTCAGCACGGAGTTTTGAAGCAATGAGCTTGCAGAGATATGTCTTGCCACATCCACCAGCACTGTGGACAAAGTGCGCGTGTCCAGGTGCTTGCTCATTACGTTGCATTGCGTCATCAACCACCGCATCAAAGACCGCCCTCTGCTCTTCATTAAGAGATGGTACTCCTGCATCCACCATCACCTGAAGCTCCTCCTGGTCATACTGGAGCTGCTCAGCAATCAGCTGGTTGCCCTCCAAGGCCCCCCCATCTTGCTGCCATTTGAGACACAGGCATGGGAGGCATATCTTCCAATGATGTTCCATTTTTGCGGAGGAGGCCATCGATGATATAGAGACCAAAGTCGAGGACCTCATCTGGGGTAGGGTCGGGTATGTCGAAGGGATTGCGAATGAGACGACGACGTAGGTCGTCGCAGAAATTATCCTTGAAGCGGTTCCAAAGCTCATGAGGGCTTGTAGGATTGCAGCGGATGAGAATGATTGCGAAAAGATTACGCAGGCGATGTCCAGTGCACATGTGAGAAGCGTCCTGCAAACAATGCATCCATTCATTATCATCATCAAGCAGACCCCTGAGCCGACACGCATCCTTAAAAGTGTCACAGACAACTCCATCAACGGTACGAAGGTTTTCATAGGAGGTAGCGCCTTTGAAAACACGGTAAGTTTGATTGATACTAATCATCACAGATATCATACCTTTCACCACAGTCAAAAGCAATCTCAGATAAAATCGCTCTCCGGTGCCGGGTGCAGCGGCATACATCCTTCCTATTGCCACTGCACGTTCACATATCTTCCACGCCTTCTTGGTCCAGACGAATCTTGAGGGGAAATCTTGGTAGAGGAAATCATGAGCTCCAGCCGCCACCATATTCTCATCGGCATTGGCTTTGAACCATGCGGTGAGGTGAGTCTCCCTGACTGCTGCACGCTCAAGAACATCCTGAGCATCATCATCAGGGTCGTAGAACACCATATGTTCATCCGGGAGGTGGACCGGCAACCGGTAGACAGAGGGCCATTCGAGGTGCATGGCAAACTCAAAGGTGCGCCATGCAGCCTCATTAGAGCTGATATATCTTGTGTCGAGATAGGATTTGATCTTGTCCACAGCTCCTCTCATCTCCAAAGTAGCACGGTCATTTCCTTTGTAGATGTACTTATGAATGTACTTGACGGACTTGATCGAAACGCAGACTTCCATGTTGATGTGGCAGTCAAATTCCGCCAGAAGTTGCGGAGGATGAGGAACGACATCTTTGTTGGTGAAGACAGTGTCATTCTTTTGTATGGTACGACCATTGTCAGGTCTCGCATACTCTGGATAACCATCATCCTTCATCAAGGTCTGGGGAGTGAATGACTTTGGGAAGTGCTTCTTGCACCGTGCATTCTCCAAGCACCGCTCTACAGTGCAAGGGCCATGCAGCATATACTTTTGCACGGCCTCATAGAGTTTAGGATGGATGTTTCGATCGGGAATCTGAGCTGATATGAAGGAGTCAATCTGTTCTACCGTGCAAATTTTGTACTCTGGTTCCAGGAAGATGAGGAGATGCATGTGAGGCAGGCCGCGTTTTTGATACTCGATGGTGTACACCAATCCTGCTACCTTTCCATAGAAGCCTCCACGAATCTTCTTCAAGAGGGCCTGCTGCTTCAGATGGAATACGCGAGCCACCAAGTCTGGGCGGTCCACAGTGCTCTGGCCTGTGTGAGTGATCGTCAGTAATGAAGTCATGCATAACATGTAAAATATAAATTCTTACCTGGCAGGAGATTTTTAGTAATTTCAGGCCAACTCCCATTGGCGGTCATCGTCAGGAAGAGATCTGGCTTTTTGCAGGCACGGCAAATGGCTAAGGAGTCCTGGAGCAGCTGGTGCATGTACCGAGGACTTCCTGCATGGGAGGAGGGAAGGATGATGGTGCGGCCTGTCTCAGCTAAATCTTGCATGCCGTCATTGACGATGTTGTCTGTCAGGCCTTGGTAGCAGTCCGCCCTGAGCTTCTTTTGGTTGAACCTGATCCAGTTCAAGTTTGCTTGTTCAATAGAAGCCCAGGCATCGACCACATATTGCTGGAATAGTTTTCCGCCACGAAAGATGTTGTTGTGGTCAATGTGAGCAGGGCGAGTATGTAGGCGGTAGGCGTGGTAAAGTAGCTGGGTGACTTTCTTTGCGCGTCCACGTCCACCCTCTTCTATGTTCATAGGGATGTCAAGATGCCAGCCCTCCTCACCAGCAGGAAAGAGAAGAACATAGTGAAGGGTGGCGTATGCATGGCTAAGCTGACTGATGCGTTCGAGTCGACCCCCTTGAAGTCGTAGGATGATATCACGATTGTCAGACACCTCCTCGGATCCATCACCAGGGATGATCACAGCAATTTCATCAGCAGTGGGAAGATTATATCTTCGCCCATCTGTGCCCTGCTGAAAGTGAATGCGTGCATGAACCTCTGTGTGCTGCTCTGGAGGCTTCTCTCGCATGACTTGATAGGCCTGCTTATAAAGAGGAGCATATGGATGCTTTCGATACAGCATATCATGCAACAATCTGAGAGTATGACGGTTCAGACCTTCATTTTCAGGCCGCATGGCACGAATGTTGGTGGCTTCCTCTGGGTCATAAATATAGAGCTGCGCATATGAAGGCCGAACACCTGCTTCAGGAATGAGACTGCCCATCAGGTGGTGAAGTGATCTGTGGATGCGAAAAGCATTTGGGCCAGAGGCTTGGAGAGCTCGATGCTCAAGATCCACACCCACCGACGTGAATGCAAGAGCGCTATTGTACTTCCGGATATTATCAACAAATGTGCGGTCTGTGTATGCCTGCTGCAGCTCGGGTGGCCATGCTGGAAAGGTTGGAAGGCTGACTTGGCCCTGCAAGCAGCACATACCAAAGCGTGGGCATGTCGGGGGGGAGGCGGTTAGTCGTTCAGACGAAAAGTGCAATGCGTGACAGTTGGGACACTCTGCATCGAGAGAACCAAGAGAATGAGGTTCATCAGGCTCTGTGTATGGTTGGCCTCCATCAGGGATAGGAATGCGTTGAGCGAACACCTGGTTGATGTTCTGATCCTCTGCATTGCGTTGCTGGCGACGTTCTCGCCGTCTGTTCCTTCTTCTTTCCTCGTCCTGAGCATGCTGCTCTTGAGATTCCGGATCATTGTATTCTTGCAGTGCCTCTTCTAGACGCTCCTCTCGCTCACGAACTACCTGCTCATGATGTTGTTGGTCTTCTTCTGCCTGTTGACCTGCTCTCTGAACATCCTCCTCGTGGGCTATTTGGTGTTCTTGTTGCTGAAGGGCTTCCTCATCCTGCTGATGTATCCGCTGGGCTTCCCGCTGGGCTTCCTGCTGTTGCAGTTGGAGAACATCCTGAGCTTGCCTATTCATCTGCTCAGCTATCTGCTGCTGTAGGTGAAGAGCATCCTGTGCATGCCTGGCTTGCTGCTGCTGCAAGTGAAAGGCCTCCTGGGCTTGTCTATGCATGCGTTCAGCTTCTTGCTGCTGTAATTGCCGCTGAATCTGCTGTCGATGAAATTCCTCCTGTGCTTGCCTATGAAGCATGGCATTTCTAATCCGCTCATGTTCCATCACCTCCACCTGGAGATGGTGCTGAAATGCTATGTTGAATGGCTGATAATTTGGTTGTGGTGCAGGTAATGGTGGTGCAGGGTTAGGAGCGAAGTAGGGCAGCGGATTTTGGATGTTGTGAGGACCAACTTCACCCTCGTAATGAATAGGGCCAAACATGCGAGGGGCAGGTTGAACATCTTGATCAGCAGGCTCTGCAAATTGAGGCGGAACAATTGCTTCGAGCGGTGGAGGAATAATAGGTTCATTAGGGATTTGAGGTTGCTGCGGGGGCTGCATCCCAGCTGCCATAAGCTCTGCCTGTGCCTGCTGTCTTGTCTCATCTCTCTCCTGTTGTCGACGCAAATTACGCTGATTGCGTCTATTGTTATGAGCCTCATTCATTTGCTCGTTCAAGCGCGCATTATAATCAACTCGAGGCGGAAGATGAGCATGCTGCACACGTGCAATCGCATTTCGTGGCAAGCCGGGATACTGCTCAACTGGCAGAGGTTGATGGGGGAAATCTGGGGGAGGTTGCCATGCAAAAGGTCGCGGAACAGGCCCCGCTTGTGGCAAATTAGCCGGCACAAAATTTGGCTGTGGTGCAGGAAGCGGAGGCCTGTCCTGATTATCATGAGCAGCATGGCGGCGATTACGTCTGCTGGGAGACGTCATTTGAAGCCGATTGAGTCTGTCGTGTTCATGTTGGGAGTGACGATCGCGCTCTGGTGTGATATGATCTTGATTTCTAAATGGCACAAAGTGACGTGCAGAGATTAGCATTGTGCACCTTGCATGCAGCAATATACAGTTGGCGACTCACGGGACGGGTATATCCTGATCCATGTTCGTTATTTGAATCGTTGTTTAGCAAGTGCAATGAGTTGCCTGAACACATAAATCAAGTCAGATTTTTGCCCATTTCTATCATTTTTTATAATGAAACCCACAAAAAGGTGTATTACACTTGGCTGCAGGGGAGGGCAATTTCACTCGAGAAAGCTAATCAATTTGCTTGTGTTGCAGCAGCCAAATTGTGTAATGAATTGTGTAATGAAAGTGTTGTAATGATTTTGCTTTTCTCGTACCAACTCCCCTATGGTAGGAAAGCTGTGTTGTTTGTCCGTGTTGTCCCCGGAGCGCAGTAGGCGTGCGGATCACTGTCCACTATATCGCGTTTTGGTTGTATTTTGGAATTTTGGACTTCGTCAAATTTTCCCTCTCGAAATTCTCAACTTGGAAGGTTTTTTCTCTCAGTTAGTAAGCTTATGCAAGAAAAAAACACGCGATGTTTCTAAAAAGAGGTTTAAGCGAGCTAAGCGTTCCCATGTGGCCTTTGGCGAAACATCCGACGTTGGCGAAATAGGCGAAAACCACGCGAGCTGGCGAGGACCGCTCCCACACATCGCGCCTTACTTTATAGACGAGTCCACACCCGTTGTGCCTTCGGCACAGGAAGGCAGTGGAGCGCTTCGCGCTCCTTTGGGAGGTGCCTGTGGCACCTCAATTCCTTAATAATAATAGCAGGTTTTGAAATATATTATATTTTTGAGATAATAACTTGTCCCATTTATCCTCCTGTTGTTGTCCTGTTGTCCTCTCATAGTCCTCACATCATTGTCCTGTTGTCGTTGTCCTCCTGTCGTCATCCCATCATCCTCTCATAGTCCTCCCATCATCATCCCATTGTCCCATTATCCTCCTGTCATCCCATCCTCCCATCCTTCTGTCCTCCTGTTCTCCCATACTTTGGGTTCTCCCATTCTCCCATTCTCATTTATTTCAATTTCAATAAATATTTCATGTCATGTATATAAAACAAACTTCTGTGTTTGGTCAATAGCACTCATTCCTATCACTGTTCCTTCAGTCAGATTGAATTGAATTCATTGGTTTGCTTGTCCACGGTGGTTTCTCATATCTGTCAGAATTTGCCCCTCCCATTTGAATTTTCAATAATTAATTTATGTATATACACAGGCTACATAAACAACAGCTGTGCAAAACACAGGGGTGCTGCCTATGTATGGAACGAAGAAATTGGAACTGAGTCGGCGCTTGAAAAAACCACGCGATATTTCCAAAAAGAGGTTTAAGCGAGATAACCTGCACAACCGAAATACTCGCTCTAACCGGGGCCATGTGGGCTACGCGAAAATGCCCAAATCGTTCCCACGAGCGTTCCCCCTTGTCCCATACTTTTTTGATAGATTCCAACTCACTCGCATGGATGCCCGATGGCACACGCCTTCTTTCTGCCGCGTATGACGCCATAGAAGAGTGGGATACATCAACCTGGGAGAAGGTCGGTCATCCCTGGAAGGGCCATACTGATATAATCAACGCCATCGCCGTAAATCCTGCTGGCACGCTCGTTGCTTCCGCATCCCAAGACAACCACGTCCATCTCTGGCGGCTCTTAGATCGACGAAACATTGCCATCTTCCAGCACTCATCCAGTCGGGCATGTATCACGTTCTCCGTAGATGGCAATAACATCCTCAGCGGAGGTGCAGATAATCAGATCTCAGAGTGGGAAGTACGCAAGGGTTTTCATTCAAACGTGAGTTTCCATCCTTGACTCGTGGCACGCAATTCGACCATGCTTCATGCAGATATTCGATGATCCATGCATAGCTGGGGACTTGTCTACCGCTGAACAGCTGTTCACGCAAGAGCTCGACGCCGACGCCAACAACCATACCTCCTATGCCAATCGCTCATGCGTTATGGCACGAAAACAAGACTGGGACCGTGCCCTTGAGGATGCAATCAAGGTCAGTCATACGGACCAATCATGGCCCTCTTATGAAAGGCTAACTTTCAAATATAGTCCATCAGGATTAAGCCCTCCATGACAGGCTATATCTCCAAGGCCATTGCCCTCTGCGGAAAAGGCAATGTCCGGGACGCGAGGGTAGCATTTGACGTCGCATCTATGTTCACGAACCAAGATTCACAAACCATCCATTTTCTTCTCTTGATCAAGCTTGGTCAAGTTCGTCTCACATGCTCTCTGCTCCATTTTATATTCCAGGCCATTGCCCTCTTCAATGCAGATCAACATGACGAGGCAATGCTGCTCATCAAAGAGCTAGCTGCCGCTCGTCCGAATGATGATACCCTCGCGTGTCGCGTCGTGGAAGTAAGTATCATGCGGCTATGCTCGGTTATCGCTACTGATCTTTGCAACACGCACATTAGGCATATCTACGCGTTCAGCTCGGAACTAAGGCCTTAGATGGCGCACATCACGACGAAGCCGCTGACCACTTCGCCGCCGCCGCCGTCAACTCCAGCACTTTCCCATCGAAAATCATCCCTGATCTATGCGATGACTTTGTCGTGGTACGTTGACATGACGCATCCCAATTTTATTCCATAACTGAGTGTTTCGTTCAGCTCTTCGGCTGGGATCTTGAGTCCTTCTGGCTCACTGCACACCAGAAACGCTGTCAGGCTTTCCTTTCGGCAGGTAAAGTCGAGGAAGCCCTCGCATCACATCAACACATGATGGACGCCATCGACGAAACTGAGAAGGCCAGCTCCCTCGATTGGTCCAACAGCCAGTTTTCAATGATGTCACTTGACGCTGTGAGACTCACTCGCATTTCACTCAGACTTCAAGGAACAATGTGCGCTTGCTGCTCGTGATGACCGTATTCTTGGCGCATGTACTTCCTTCCTCAACATTTTCGCTACTGACTTAATTTGTGCAGGCAGAGATTCCGGGGCAAGATCAAGATCAGTATGATGCAGAACCTGATTTCTTCCGTGGAACGCACGGCGTGGGTGCAACAGTGCATTTTATCGTTCATTTCTCACTCATACACCATTCATGACAGCATCCTCAAATGTCCAGACCACAACTTCAGCAGCGCTCGGGGCGCTTCAAGAAACTCAGGCCCGCTGTGACAAGGAGTCCTCATCCGGTTCCTCCACCTGCACCTGCACCTGCACTCACACCACCCACCGCCCTGCCACCTGCCACTGCTCCCGCAACCTTCAAAGCCCACGTCCGACACTTATTCACCTGGCAACCCGTCGTCAAAGTTGCTTTCGCGTGGGGTCGAAAGGTGCGCTCGGTCGATTTTATTACTGTCTTGGGTGTCTCATGCATATATCTACAGCGCAATGCTGCAGCGGGTGCTCCTGCTGATGACGATTCAGATATAATACGTGCTGAATATGTCGATGATGATCCACAGGACCCCACTGCTACACAGCAGCCCAACACACAACAGCAACAACAACCAGTAGCGGCACAGGTAGCCACTGGGGAACACGGAGGTGGCAAGTCGTGTTTCTGCTGCTAGCGTTTTTCGTCGATGTCTTCGGGTATTTCACTTTTGTCATTGTTCTTGTTTTGATGCGACATCTATATTGACTTGAAGCAGTATTTTATTACCATAGTATCCTTCAGATTTATTCTGGTCCCTATTCATAGCTGATGATGCCCTCCCTAAGTGATATAAATTACAGAATGAGTCGTTGGCACACGATATTTGCACAACCTCTCTTAACGCGGGACAATGTAACATCGTAGCGGCACTTGTGTGCCTGTCCCCGACCCCAGTTGGTCGCTACTGTCAATGCAAGTTATCGAATCTACAATTATTACTGACATATAGTAGTGCACGGGCCATCCCGCATGTCAAGAAAAATTGAAGGTACCAGGCCATCACGTCAGCGATCACAGTTCTGACGAGTCGCTGTGTCCATTGGGTATCTCAACGAGAATTCGACGAGCCATGAGCATATAGACTAAGTATAGAAACGGTTTATCAAGATATTATATCAGGAGAATATCGGCTTGGCGTCGTCGTGCGGCTAGCCGATCGCGACATGCTCCCCTTGACTGTGTTGAAAGGTACTTTGTATGATTCATCCCTTTATCACCTCGATGTTGCAGG